CTGCCCTAACACTTTTGAACTCGAGGGGTAAGGATGATCATGAGAAAGGTTAGGGATCAGCCCAGAACTACACGGAGCTTGTTAATGATCTAAAGGCAGTTGAAACAACAGTCACCAAGAAAACTGTTAGTAACACTACGCCACAATGGATTGAAATCCTGCAGCATCCGCAAGGTCCCCCTGCTCAAGAAGGCACATGTACAGGCCCATCTGAAGTTTGCCAATAAACATTTAAATGACTCCGAGAAGGCTTAGGAGAAAGTGCTGTGGTCAGATGAGACCAAAATTGAGCTCTTAGGCATTAACTCGACCCGCTGTAAGGGAGAGAAATGACCCCATGAACACCATCCCTAATGTACATTCAAGCACGGATTTGGAAACATGCTTTGGAGCTGTTTTTCTGCTAAGGGTACAGGACGACCACCGCAGTGAGGGGCCGATGGACGTGATCATGTACTGTAAAATCTTGGACTAGAACCTCCTTCCCTCAGCCAGAACACTGAAGATGTGTTGTGGATGGGTCTTCTAGCATGACAGTGATGCAAAACATACTGCCAAGGCAACAAAAGAGTGGCTCAAGAAGAAGCACATTAAGGTCATGAAGTGGCCTAGGCAGTCTCCAGACCTCAATCCTATAGAAAATCTGTGGAGGGAGCTGAAACTTTGAGTTTCCAAGCAACAGCCGAGAAACCTTAAGGATTTAGAGAGGATCTGTAAAGAGGTGTGGACCAAAATCCCTCCTGAGATGTGTGCAAACCTGGTGACCAACTACAAGAATAATAATGACATGGATAATGACACTAAACATACTGCGAAAGCAACTCAAGACTTTTTGAAGGCAAAGAAATTCAATATTCTTCAACAGCCAAGTCAGTCTCCTGATCTCAATTCAATAGAGCATGCTTTTCAGTTACTAAAGACAAGCCTGAAGGCAGAAAGACCCACAAACAAGCAGCAACTCAAGGTGGCTGCAGTGAAGACCAGGCAAAGCATCTCCAGGGTGGAAACTCAGAATTTGGCAATTGTCCATGGACTCCAGACTACAGGCAGTCATTGACTTCTAAGGATTTTCATTCAAGTATTAAAATTTTGCTTATATTTACAATTGTCACTTTGTCCAAATACTGTTGAGCCCCTGAAAATGAAGGTACTTTGCTTAAAATGGCTGTAACTCCTACATGGTAAATGTCATATTTTTGTGGAACCTCTTAAAATAAAGCTAAAAGTCTCCACTTCAATAACATCTTGATTGTTTTATTTCAAATCTATTGTAGTGGTGTATAAAGGCAAGTGGTGTATAAAGGCAGGTGCATCTCAATAAATTAGAATGTTGTGGAAAAGTTAATTTATTTCAGTAATTCAGCTCAAATTGTGAAACTCGTGTATTAAATAAATTCAATGCACACAGACTGAAGTAGTTTAAGTCTTTGGTTCTTTTAATTGTGATGATTTTGGCTCACATTTAACAAAAACCCACCAATTCACTATCTCAACCAATTAGAATATGGTGACATGCCAATCAGTTAATCAACTCAAAACACCTGCAAAGTTTTCCTGAGCCTTCAAAATGGTCTCTTAGTTTGGTTCACTAGGCTACACAATCATTGGAAAGACTGCTGAGGGGAAGACTGCTGATCTGACAGTTGTCCAGAAGACAATCATTGACACCCTTCACAAGGAGAAATCGATTCAAGAATCTGAGTGAACTTCACAAGGAATGGACTGAGGCTGGGGTCAAGGCATCAAGAGCCACCACACACAGACGTGTCAAGGAATTTGGCTACAGTTGTCATATTCCTCTTGTTAAGCCACTCCTGAACCACAGACAATGTCAGATGTCAGATGGTAATGTTCTTACCTGGGCTAAGGAGAAGAAGAACTGGACTGTTGCCCAGTGGTCCAAAGTTCTCTTTTCAGATGAGAGCAAGTTTTGTATTTCATTTGGAAACCAAGGTCCTAGAGTCTGGAGTAGGGCCACACGATAAATCGCATGCGATATTTAACGCGCATCTTGTCAGAAAAGTCGGTTCGCTGATTACAGAACCGGCTTTCTGACACGATGCGCATTAAATATCGCATACGATTTATCGTGCAGCCCTAGTCTGGAGGAAGGGTGGAGAAGCTCATAGCCCAAGTTGTTTGAAGGCCAGTGTTAAGTTTCCACAGTCTGTGATGATTTGGGGTGCAATGTCATCTGCTGGTGTCGGTCCATTGTGTTTTTTGAAAACCAACGTCACTGCACCCGTTTACCAAGAAATTTTGGAGCACTTCATGCTTCCTTCTGCTGACCAGCTTTTTGAAGATGCTGATTTCATTTTCCAGCAGGATTTGGCACCTGCCCACACTGCCAAAACCACCAAAAGTTGGTTATATGACCATGGTGTTGGTGTGCTTGGCTGGCCAGCAAACTCACCGGACCTGAACCCTATAGAGAATCTATGGGGTATTGTCAGGAGGAAAATGAGAAACAAGAGACCAAAAAATGCAGATGAGCTGAAGGCTGCTGTCAAAGAAACCTGGGCTTCCATACCACCTCAGCAGTGCCATAAACTGATCACCTCTATGCCAAGCCGAATTGAGGCAGTAATTAAAGCAAAAGGAGCCCTTACCAAGTATTGAGTACATGTACAGTAAAGGAACATACTTTCCAGAAGGCCAACAATTCACTAAAAATGTTTTTTTTATTGGTCTTACGAAGTATTCTAATTTGCTGAGATAGTGAATTGGTGGGTTTTTGTTAAATGTGAGCCAAAATCATCACAATTAAAAGAACCAAAGACTTAAACTACTTCAGTCTGTGTGCATTGAATTTATTTAATACACGAGTTTCACAATTTGAGTTGAATTACTGAAATAAATGAACTTTTCCACGACATTCTAATTTATTGAGATGCACCTGTATAGATCACAAATGTGTGTGTATGTATATATATGTACTCTTCCATCTTTAGTTGACCCTATAGGACTCTCTATTCTAATTCTATTCTTATAAAAAAAACCTGGCCCTTTTAGACTTGCATGCTATTCATTTACTAACTGCTTGTTTTCTTAAAAAAACACTAGCTTCTCTGTTCATTTTGTATTCTATTTCTTTTCTTTTTATCTATTATACAATTAACACAAGCAGAAAAGGCCTCTAACACTAGCTTGCTCTATTTTTTCTTTTTATTATATAATTAAAAAAACCTTGCGATGTGTACTGCATTAAGCTAACTGAGATTTGTTATAGCTCTTTTGTTGAGTTTTGTAAGTCGCTTTGGATAAAAGCGTCTGCTAAATGACTAAATGTAAATATAAATATATATAACATTACAGCGCTGATCGTCAACTCAAGATTTGATCCTAAATTCATGGCGTGCATGCACATTAAAGTGACATCAGTAGCAAACAGCCAATCCCATCTTGAAACAGAAACTGCGATTCACTTCTCTATAATCAATAATTCAATTCACTATTCTGCCGAAAATTGAAAAATAGAAATAACAAAGCCTGCCCACCTAAACCAGCTTCATAGTATAGGCCCCAGGACTTTTATGTCCATTCAAAAGTGCAGATTAAAATATAACCTTGAAAGTAAATATATTTTGGATTACACCTCACAATAACGACAGGAAAAGGAATATGACGTAAAATATTTTATTTTGTTTTGTAAATGTTTCTAAACCTGATTCCACAAACTCCAAAACCCACACGTTGTATACTTCAAAAGAAAGAAAAAAAAGCTTTGTTTTAACATTGGATACTACTATACAGGACAAAGAAAAAAGACAAATACTGTTAAATGTCTGAATATTGTACAAGAAGGGGAAAAAAAATCCAAGAAAATTTTATTACAGCCAGTCACTGAGAAATTATGTACAACTGACTTATCTGAAAATTGAAAAAATACATCATGCCATATATATTACAAGCTCAGGGCTGTTTAAGAATACCAACAATTGCAGTCCACATTAGTTGTGCACATGAAAAAAACATTTCAAACTGGTCTGCAAAGTGCTACTACCAGCTTTGAATTATTTCATTGAGTGTGTGACATCATACCATGATGTTTACTTTTACCAACACCAAAAATAAGTCATCTTTTATTCTTTAAATGTAAACAAGAAAGAAGCATACTTTACATTTCATTAAATGTCTACGCATTAGGTTTTCTGAATGTGAAAGGCATTGAACTTCATCTCTGAAGTTCTAAACGTGAGTCTATGCTGTGGAGGGTTAAGAACAGCTAGTGCTCGCAATTGGGAACCATCAAATGCTTTATGGGTGGCTTCAAATGGGAATTCACAGCGTACACTAATCTGATGAACAGAGTTAAGATTTCACAATCACCTCAGCATGATTGGTGCTCGTTTGATTGCGAAAATATAATAAAAAAATGGCAAAAAAGTAAAAGGAAAAGTTCTTCAGTGGTCAGATCATTTTAGACGATATTGATTCTACATTCTAAATACAACAAAAATACTCTGAATTAATTTTTTACAGAATCTGTACAATTTTTTTTACAATACATATACTCTCAAAATGATATCTTGACATCCTTCTTAAATACTTTTTTTAATCTTTTTTTTTCCATTTCATTTTGTTGAAAACAAACAAAAGGTCACCCAGACAGCTATGATAAAGTTAAGGTAACATTTGGTCGAGTGTTTAAAATTTTTCATTTATAGACAGATATTTACACATCGTATAAAGTAACATGTTCTGACCAATCGGCAGCTCAACTCTCTGCTTTTCCACATCTTTAAAAAATAGCTTCAATCAATAATAAATACAAAAGCTGTCTCTTATTTTACAGAAATCAAAACAAAGGAAAAAATAAACTGACTCATGGAATCAAGTATTTAAACGGTATCTTTCTGTTTTAGTGCAAGTTAATAATTCCCTTAGCTTTATCCCTAAGGAAGTCTTCTCAGTACATTCCTTGTTCAGTGGTGTCTACATTTCTGTAACTATATGTGTATATATTTGTGTGTGTGTGTGTATATATATATAAAAAAAAATTTTACCCAGAGGACCTGCCTCTTTATTTCTAAATAAGGCCGTGGCCAGCACTTTCAAGCCTAAGCCAACCTGAAAATCCTGTTTACCACTCTGCCGAAGCACATCGTCTCATCAAAATGAGAGCATGCAGGAAAAATAGATTTTCATTTACATTGTCTTAGCAATTCAGAGTTACCAGTGTGCAGCCTATTTTATTTTAGGTGAAGGTGCTCAATCATACTACTACATCAAATCTTAGACACTGAACCAAAACAGACCGCTGGAGTCGTTTTAATTTTAAACACCAGGCCGATATGCCTTTAAAAGCACCTACAGTCCTGCGTCCTACATCATGCCCTAACAAAGTTTTTTTTTTTTTGTTGTCATTTTATATATAAAAATCAGAATTGAAGTAATTTCCCGGGCCTAAAAAAATACTAAAAAGGAATGTGTATGTTCAATTGTCAATCGTTTCACTGATATCTTTCAATTCATCCATTTCCGACAGTTAACTGCACCACAGTGACAAGGGATTTTATGCTGATCGTCCTCCAGATCAAACTTGTAGTCATAACACAACTGGAAAAGAAAAAAAGGAAAAAAAAAAAAAAAGAGTGACCACAATGTTAAATGTCATCGGGTCACATTTTATAGATGTGACTGGCAGGATAAACTAGCTTTACCTCTTCGCCTCTCTGGATTCGGCGGTTGGAGCTGATGATGATTTTGTGACCTCTCTCAAAGCTTACAACCTCAGCAATGCAGTTGGGTGCACAGGAGTGGTTGATATACCTGATGAAAAAAAAAATTTTTTTTTGAAAATTTTCCCCCTCAACCCCTCAGATGATGCCAACCCTGAAACAACTTACAGAACTACCAAATTTTGCTATAAGTTTGATTGCAATATATAATAATTGCTGTTAATAGTGTTCATCTTCTGTTTGATTAAGTCTTTAATTGATTTTTTCTGTACATTTCTGCCATATGTACATTAACTGACAGTCACTACTGATAAGCTACTATTAAATATTATAAATACTATTAAAAGTTGCTTTGCAACGATTTGTATAGTTAAAAGCGCTATACAAATAAACTTGAATTCAATTGAACTGAAAATAAATGTACTAGTAGACCCAGATTAAGCAAGTGAGGCCAAAACATACTACGTGAATGCATGTGAAAGCAAATGTTGTTTGCTATGGAAGCTTGATTTTGTGTGATGTTGCATTCTGTTGTGTTAGAAAGCAATTCATCGCATAATCCTAGTATGCAGTTGATATTAAAAGCTACAGTAGCTATTAGGGATGCACCGATACCACTTTTTCCAGTACTCGCCCGATACCGATACTTTTATTTTTGGTACTTGCCGATACCGAGTACCGATACCAATATTTTTATTGCATTTGTATTTTTTTTTTAATATTGGGTACAGAAACCAAAAGAGTATGTATAATGTTAGTTGGTTAACTTCATTTATCAAATAGATACAGTCAAACCAAAATTTATTCAGACACCTTCATCATTTCTCACATTATCACAGTTTATTAGCTATAGTTTAGAAAATGGTAATAAATGACAAGAACTCAGAGTTAAACTGTGTCAGAACAAATTCAGCTTGATAATGTGTTAGATAACTTTGATAGAAAGGTATGTAATAGATTACAATAAACCAAAAATTATTCAGACAGCTGTTAGTATGACAGTATTTACACAATTCCTGCAAACCTGAACTTAAATGTATAACTCGGTCTGAATCATTTTTGGTCCCAAATTTTTATCAGTTTTACTGGTAGTCTACCGTATGAAGAATTTTTGGGTATAATTCATCACAGTTTACTTTATTTTGCTGTCCTCACTTATCAGCGTGCTTTGTTTATCAGCTCGCGCACATCAGCTATACAGGCTGAATGTTTAAACTGAATGTTTAACATTATATTCATTGGATACATATTAGAGCCCGAACTATATGGGTTTTTTGGGGCCGATACCGATATTAGGGAGTAAAAAAAGGCCGATACCGATATGTCGGCCGATATTCTTTGTGTATATTATAGTAAAGTACCAGTCAAAAGTTTGGACACTTTCCCATTCGTGTGTCCAAACATTTGACTGGTACTATATATAGAATACAGTCTATACATAAACAGAATATATATACATAAACACATTTTTTGCAATGATCACTCAAATGTGGTGATCAAACACTTATAATGGTGACAGAGATATGTAAGGGCATTTAACAATTTAACAATAAACTTGCGATGAGTGCGATGCACAAAGTAACGGGATGTTAGTTGTAACACACATGGTTTGAATATTTATTTTACCATAGTAACATTTAAATTCTGGCTTAAGTAAATTTATCTCAGTTTTTATTATTAATTTAAAATGAGACAAATCTGCTATTATTTTAATCTCCAATCTGTTATTTATCAGTTCAGATAGTTTTTTAATGCTTTGATTACTAGCAGAAGACACTAACTAGTTTTAAATTCCAGTTGCGCAGATCGGGCACGTTGTAACACTGCGTTACAATGTGCTATTCTATGACATTAGCGATGTAATTTACACTATTGTTTTTTAATGCTTTGATTACAAGCAGAAGACACTAACTAGTTTTAAATTCCAGTTGCGCAGATCGGGCACGTTGTAACACTGCATTACAATGTGCTATTCTATGACATTAGCGATGTAATTTACACTATTTACTTTAATTAATTTTAATGAGAAACAACGAGAAACAGGTGAATTAATTAATTCTTAAAAAACTGCATTATTTTATTTGAAAAAAAAAAATCTATATCTATATAAATATATCTATATATATATTTATTAACAAAATATTTTAGTTTGTCTTGTATATTTTTTTAATTCGATCAGATACAATTTTAAGCTGTCATATGGTCAAGTCACAATGTGTCCCT